AGATGACGGCAATGGCTATAGACCCGTAGAGTTCATGTCCGCGAGGATGCCTTGTGAGAAAGTCGCTACCTCCACGTACGAAAGAGAACTCTACGCCCTCATGCAGGCTTTAGACCATTGGAAGCACTACCTGCTTGGGAGGCACTTCAAAGTCTACTCCGACCATGAAACACTTAGATGGTTGAAGACCCAGGCCAAGATGACACCTAAGTTGACCAGGTGGGCCGCAGAGATAGACCGTTTCGACTTTGAGCTCAAGCTAGTGAAGGGCAAGTACAATGTAGTGGCGGATGCCCTAAGTAGGAGATCAGACTACTTTGGAGCCGTAGTACATTATCTGGATATAGGATGAGACCTGCAGGAGAAAGTGAAACAAGCGTATACGCAGGACCCTATCTATAGCGACCTCCTAAAGAGAGTTAGAGAGGCCCCAGAGACCGAACCAGATTACCGCACTACAGACGGGTTGCTGTTTGAGAAGACTAATGTGATTGACCGCCTGTGTGTTTCCAATAGCGAAGAGATTCGTAGTCTAATTCTAGGGGAATGTCACGATACTGAGGGACACTTCGGTTGGCAAAAGACGTTAACCAATCTGATGCGTGCGTACACATGGCCAGGGATGAAGAACGACTGCATAGAGTATGTCCGCAGTTGTAAAGTATGCCAGCGAAACAAATCTACTACACGCGCGCCCCTAGGTCTTCTCAGACCCTTGCCTATTCCGGATCAGCCGGGAGACTCAGTGTCCATAGACTTCATGGACACACAAGTCAAGAGCAGATATGGTAAGAGCCAAGTCATGGTCATAGTCGACCGTTTTAGTAAGTATGCAATTTTTGTTTCTTTGCCTGCAGAGGCACGTACAAATTTAGTAATACAAAAGTTCTTTGAGTTTTGGGTTAGTGAGAATGGAATCCCATTGTCAATAGTTAGTGATAGAGATAGTCGTTTCACCAGCCAGAACTGGCAAGAACTCATGAGAGTCTACGGATCTAAGTTGTTAATGTCGTCCGGCCGTCACCCAGAGACTAACGGTCAGACAGAACAGATGAACAAGATCCTACAACAAGTTTTGCGCATGTATATTATACCAGATCAGATCAACTGGGATGAGATGTTGCCCAAGGTCGCTACTCCGTACAACAACAGCATGCATCTATCCACCTGCCGCACTCCCAATGAATAGCACAAGTCCTTTAAACCGCGCGGACCGTTCGAAGGACTGAACCGGGATCGGATTCACAGATTACCGCCCGGTACCAGGGAGTTTGGACTACAGCACGAAAAGGAGTTAGCCACTGAGAACCTTCGGAAGGCCCAGCACAGAATGATAGAGCAGGCTAACAAGCACCGTCGCCCATCACAGTTTCAAGTAGGCGACTTAGTCTGGGTCAAGGCAAAAGAGTTTGCACCGGAAGAAAACATCTCGCAGAAGTTACTGCCTGCATATAGAGGACCGTGGCCGGTTCTAGAAGTCAAGGGCGGAGAGGATGGACCGTCCTACAGCATTGAGATTCCAGCACACCTCCACACATACCCTGTGTTCCATGCTTCGAAGCTACTACCGTGTGTCACTAGTCAACAGTTCCCTTCCAGGAGATCCATGATCCCACCGGATATGGATGGGAGCTATGACATCGAGGGCATTGTAGAAGAGGATGTGTTTAGGACAGGAGGTAGAGGTCGTCCCCAGAAACAATATAAAGTCCGGTTTGCCTATCAGGAACCGGAAGACGACCGCTGGTTCACGAAAGCAGAACTTCTAGAGACTGCTCCCGACATAGTTAGAGCCTATGAGCGTGACAAGAAAGGTAAAGGTCCCGCCTTGGACTGAAATTTTCTCGGAGGACCTCGAATTTAGGACGGCGRGAGTGAAACGGTTTTCACYTTTTWGCAGTRGYGGATGCAGTACCCAGGGTTCGATCTCTAGACCTCACCCTACCCATGTACAGTATCTGTATAGAACCCGAGAATTGAACCTGTGACCTGTGTATTCGTAGGCAGTTGGTCGGCCTGTTGTAGGTCCATAGGCAGCAGGGGTTCGATCTGTAGGTCTATAGCGTAGGAGTCTTAGTGAGTTTCGGAAGCTTAGCTGTAGACCTTCTAGAAGGTAGGCAAGCGGGCAAGTGGTCAAGTGGTGAGGCAAGTGGTGAACTAAATCGCAGTGCAACAGCAATACAACGTCGGTGGGATAGCGGTGAGTCCACAGTCAGTCAGCGGAAGGTCCAGTCAGTCCCAGTCCAGTCCAGCAAGTACCACAGGGGGACTGTGAGCACCAAGGGCCGATGGCAAAGGGCAGACCAACGAGTTTCTGAAGTATAAATCAAGAGGCAGCGCCCAGCCATGCATTCATTCCGGCGTGAGCCATGCGGAAGCGCTGCCACAGCGACTTGTGCACGGAGGTCTGCGGATGAGCCCGGAGGACGCAGTGGGCAAGAGAGGAGGAGTTAGCATAGCAATAGGTTAGAGGCAGCCATAGTTGCCATAGCTGTAGTTAGTAGTGAGTGTGTGTGTGTGCTCGAGTGTTAGAGTGATGCATGTGGGATATCCAGGGTGATCCAGTGTATGTGAACAGTGAGATGTTTGGGCGCTGAAGTCGCCATAGCCAATTGAGAGTGAACTCGTATCTGAAAGTCATATCTCTGAGTTTTGAGTAGGCGCATGTCGCCAGTATACTGCATTGCTGTTTACATGCATGAAAAGTGTGTTTGAGAACGAGTCTGATTGCAGCATCAAGAATCTAATCATGCTAAAAGTAGCATCAACAACTAATCATTGCTAAGAATAGCATCAACAATCTAATCAGGATAAAAATAGCATCAGCAATAGAATCATGCTAAAAATAGCATCAGCTTCTCATATCAAGTTAAAAATAGCATCAGGTTTTCAGATCATGTTTTAAAAAAATAGCAATCTGTTGCTGCTGCCACCGAAAAACCCATCCGATAAGGTTGTTGAGGCCTCAGCAATATGATCATGCTAAAAAAATATCATCAGATTCTGAGATCATGTTTGAAATAGCAATCTCATTCTCAAACTATCCTAAAAATAGCAATCCTCATTCTATCCACCATCCTAAAATAGCAATCTATCCAGCGGCCTAGCTCAGTTGGTTAGGCACGCAAGTGGCATTCAGGCGGTTGTGGGTTCAAGCCCCATGGCCGCCTGCGGTGCACTTAGTGCCAACGGACTGTGATAGTCCTCTGGGTACCCTTGATCGGTATTAGTGGGCTCTATGACCAACACAAGTGTGAGTGTCAGCGCGAGTGGATTGTGTGTGGTGTGTGGGAGAGTGTTGGCCATAGCCTCTGCTGCTACTCGATGAGGGGTGAGGGATGATTAGAATAGGAGGCGCA